AATGATTTACCAGTATAATATTCTATGTATCTACTTAATTAATGATATGTTATAATCATTTAGTGTTATATTATGATTATAAATTTATAATTTTATATAATATTGTAACTATACCAATTATTGATAAAAAAACAAAGAATAAATATCATTAGTATAGAATTTACATAAAATAATCCACAATCCCAGCAATCTACTGAATCTTTATTAAACTTCTTAATTAATTTGGGAAATCAAATTATCAGCAAGGTAAGCCTACGCGGAGGCCATTAATTCAAAAAATTTTCTGTTGCATGTGCGGTTCTCGATAAAATTATAAGGGAAGAAAAAGTAGAAAGGGCAGAAGCAATTCACAGATTCTCTGAAGAATATGGTTCCTGAGTCCCTACGACGTTCAAATTAATGTCGATAAACAACAGGTAAAGAAGGAACCCTATACACGAGGAATAATTGAAAGAAGAGGTAAAAGAGAGACTTGACAATAGTTCTTGGAATAGGATCAAAGGCAAATTTGTGGGGAGAAACTAAAAACTGTTCTAAACCTATATAAGGACTAAAATATAAGGGCTGTTAAAAAGAAGAAAAATATGTAGCCTGGTACCCAGCTTAATTAAACATAAAATTGACTACTATTTTCAGATGAAGGGAGATTTAGGAAAGAGGTATAAAAAAAATTGTTTAGTTCTAAGAATTTTAAAAGAAGCATGCATGATATCATTTCCACAACACAAAGAAAAAGGAAAAAGAAAAACAAACATGACCATTTCAATTTATATTTTTCAATATGCCAAAACGCATTTATTTTCTTGGTTGATAACACACACATGAGCATTTCCAATTATTTTAAAGCCAGACAGCTAAAGACACACACACATCGTAATAGTATCAGAGTAACTAGGGATGGTAATAGTAATTATCAACGTCCAGTGGAGCCAGTTTGTTAGTTGAAGCTATTATAAGTCGACAGACCTGTCATAACAAGACCAGATGCGGCACCGAGGAAGACCAAGAAGCTCCAGGGAATACTGAAATGAGTGTAATAGAAGTAAGCAACGTCACTGGCCCATATTAAGTCGCAGTGCTCTTGGATACGATCTTTCAACTTTTTGTACTTCACAGGATTCGGCACCAGGTAGTCGCTGATCTTGTTGAACATCTCTGCGACAGCTTCATCGCTTCCAAGTCCGTTGAACAGCACGCCTGCTTCTCTCAGTTCCTTCACATCCTCCTCACTATCGATCAAGGATTCGAGAAATTCTATGCACGAGGAGATCTCAAACTCGTTTTTGAAATCTGAAGACATCTCGTATGCTATCAAGTTCAGCAAAATTGGCATGGTGGAGTCGTTCACTAAAATGGGAGCCAGCATAAGGGTTGGCAAGCAAGAACGGTAGTTGAAATCAATGTCTGTGATGCCATCAATCTTTTCCTTCGCTTTAAAACGAACACCCTTGGCTTTCAGCTCCTTTACGTTGCGAAATGTGGGAAATTTTCTGCTTTTATCACCAGAAGAGCACCATTTCCTCATCAGTTTCCCCAGAAGACTATCTTTATCATTCGGCTTCCCTTGTGATTTGACTCCTTGTCCTATCAGTTCACTTCGCAACAGTGCCAGAAGATGAAAAGGCTCTTCTTCTTGTTGTCGCTGCTCAGCACAAAGAGGAGTCTGAGAATCAACCTGAGCATTAATGGGTACTGATATTTGCTCGGCTGAACTCAAGAATTTCTCCTTGATGAATTGGCCGATGCAAACCTTCAATACTTCCTGAGGATTTTCTCCTCCTTCATTTGAGATTTTAATGCACAAGTCTATCAATATCTCAAGGAGTTGGAAGGGCAGTTGGTTCTCAAGTAAGAATACATCATGGATCACAAAGAGGAGTTGATCATTCTTACCACCGGATTCCCCCCACTTATTCTCCACTTCAAGGAAAATGAATTGCAACAATGCACAGCCACCCACAAGGATTAAATTAAATTAGATGATTGTAACAAAATTATAAATGACGATAATTACACCTCACCAATGAACCACATGCTATAGAAAACTATTGGTAAAGTCAAAGTCGTCACTTTGCTTTTAGAGCATGCCCAACGCATTCTCACTTCCCTCCTTATCGC